TAGTAGCGTCCTTTGCTCCTAGTAGCGATGCCAGGAGCCCCTAGTAGCGTCCTTTGCTCCTAGTAGCGATGTCAGGAGAGCATCCTTTGCTCCTATAGTAGCGCTGCCAGGAGCCCCTAGTTGTGTCCTTTGCTTCTAGTAGCGATGTCAGGAGCCCCTAGCGGTTTGGTGTAAGCGGTGGTTGGTGTAAAACGTGTTTTGGTGTATGCGGCGGTTGGTGTCAGTGGTGGTTTGGTGTAAACGGTGAGTGGTTGGAGTAAACGTGGTGTGGTGCACATGGTGGTTGGTGTAAACCGCGCAGGGGCGTAAACGGTGGTCAGTGAAAAACGTGGTCTGGTCTAGACACGTCGCGATAAAATGTGGTTCAGATCTACATCCGACGCCCTACACCAACAAATCCAATTTCCGAGCAGTAGCAGTGGATGCGCTGCGCAAATCCAGATCTGAGCCGTTGACTCACGGTCCGTGTTGCCGATGTTCTTCCACGGGGGGGCTTGGATTGAAAAACTAAGTCCAAGGAGGTGGATTGGTGGCAAGACAAACTCAAGGTATCCCGCTGAGGGCTACCTTTCGTGACGTACTTCCATGAACCTCTCAACTGTACAACTATATGCTTTACCGGCTATACCTGAAAATTTGATGGGATTGGAATCCATGATAGTGGACCTCCGTGGGAAGAATTCGGATTACGCACAACACCTCCTTCGCCAAATTCGCCAGAACAGAACTTTGCCCATGCACATCTTGAAGAATGAGCGCCCCATCCTCTACATCTTTGATATAAATAGATATATATACATATATATAAGAAATCGACGTCCCATGTGTTACTACAATGTCATCCCCCGTTTTGTCAATCAAAAAGAGGCACGTGATTTGTTGATGGGCCGTTTTCCCATCTATCTCAATTACAAGGATCGACACCGACGCCAGACGCCTGCGAAACAAGTATGTAGTTATATAATGTTATATATATATGCCGTCGGTATGCAAGTGGACTAACCTTTCAACTCAAAGATGGAAAGTCGTGGACAGTTTCTCCCTCCAGCAGGGGGTGCCTCAAATTTGAGATGCACGGCGTTGCACGACCCTCCATGCACGGTTGGAGCTCTTTCTTAAGATGTGTCCGCCCTTTCTGTCACTGCTTGCTGGTGTCCGCGAAATCAGCAAAACACTACACCTGGCGCGAAATCAGTGGGCACCGCCCATCCCAACCCTCCCGACCTGGCGCATAGCGCCGCTGCACCCTGTAGCCTCGACCCTGCCCGTGGACAGGCCGCGGCCAGGGCGCCAACCAGGGGCTGGTTGGAGGGGACGCTGCCTTGGCGTGAGCCAGCCCTTCCTTGGGCCTCGGCAGGAAGAGCTGCCCCTCAGAAAACCCAAACATCTGGTTCTTGGTAGATGGGACGCGACAAGAGCGGATGACTTTAGGCACCCTTTTCCGCTGGCCATGCAACATTTCTATTCATGTGTCTCCGAAGTGATGTTTCTCCAGGCAGGTTACTGTTAGGGGTTCTCAATGCTTTCTAAGAGTGTCCGCCTTGCAGCGGGACAGCGTGTCCGCCTTCCGTCTGGCTTGTCTCCCTTGCTGTCCTTCTTGTTGGTCATTGTGTCCGCCTTGTCTCCCTTCTGTCTCCCTTGTCTCCGGTCTCCCTTCTGTCCGGTCTTGTCTCCCTTCTTGTTGGTCATTGTGGTTTCCTTTTGTCTCCCTTCTTGTTGGTCACTGTGCCCGCTTTGTCTCCCTTCTTTCTCCTTTTGTCTCCCTGCTTGTCCCCCTTCTTGTTGGTTATTGTGTCGGCCTTGTCTTCCTTCTTGTCTCCCTTTGTCTCTGGTCTTGTCTCCCTTCTTCATCATCACTGTGTCCATCTTTGTTCCTTCTGTTTCCTTTTGTTTCCTTTGCTGCGGGACAGCGTGTCCCTTTGTCTCCCTTCTTGTTCGTCTCCCTTCTAGGTTGGTCATTGTGTCCGTCTTGTCTCCCTTCTGGGGCACGGGGATGCGGCGGGGGCCGGCGGGTTGGGCCGGCCCAGCCGCATCGCCCACGCTCCACTTCGAGGTTCACCAAGTGCTGCGCTAGCCACGAAATCTGCACTTCGAGGTTCACCAAGTGCTGTGCCCGCCACGAAATCTGCACTTCGAGGTTTACCAAGTGCTGTGCCCGCCACGAAATCTGCACTTCGAGGTTCACCAAGTGCTGTGCCTGCCACGAAATCCGCACTTCAAGGTTCACAAAGTGCTGCGCCTGCGACGAAATTTGCACTTCGAGGTTCACAAAGCGCGGCGCCTAACAACTGACAGATTATATAATTTTAGTATCCGCACAAACAACAACAGTAGCTATGGATTATTTTAAGATCCTTTGTCACACCAGCAAAGGCCGGTCATTTGCGGGGCGGGCGCAAAGCATATGTTAACTCGAGTGGCTTCCCGAGTTGTATCCAATGATCCACGGAGCGGATCACGGTATCATCCCGATCCATGAACAACGGCGCTTCCTCATAAGGCCACAAACAATCGGTAGTCATGTTCACTAAGAACAAAGAGCAACTCAAGCCAAGTCCTTCACACGCATCAAAGTGCTCGAGGATTTTTGTTCACTAAAACCCCTTTCCAATAATAAAGCTTGGCCTCAACCTGAAAGCTATTCGATCCATCGTTTCAATCAGGTTGCACTATGCGCCCGGCCTTGAAGAAGTGTGCGCCAGTAAGTGCATGGCGTGCCTCAACGTAATCCCCATTGTGGCCCCGCATCATAAGAACAGGCTGTCAAGCCACCACCAAGCACTATGCGATTGCAATCCAAACCATACAGAAGCCAAGCTTGTCTGTAGCACATGTATTACAAGCATCGCCCGCCTAACAGCTGATAGATTACACTAGTTTAATACCCATGCATACAACAGTAGCTACAGCTACAACCTCCTTTCTTTTTAAATCCGATACCCGTTGTCACACCGGCGGTGGCCGGTCATTTATGGGGTGGACGCAGGACATCTGTTAAGTCCAGTGGCTTCCTGAGCTGTAGCCAATCATCCATATGAAATACACAACACCTGTAGATAGAATCCTGCTCATACAAAAGGAATCATGCAAAACAGATGCAATGATATTCAGACAACCTTCCGCTCAAGCATCATCACACCTGCGCAACAAAGTCAACATATCTCACTCACAAAACATGTGAGCCACAGACCTAATCAGTCAAGGACGTATCCAGACCAAATCCGGGCCAGGTACCTGCACAGCCAAAGCGAAGCCCAGTAAAGAGCATGCTTGAAGTGGATAGAGAACACCTGTAAATATGATCCTGGAATTCATACAAAAGGCATCATGCAAAACGGCTGCAATGGTATCCAGGCAACCTTCTGCTCAAGCATCGTCGCACCTGCGCAACAAAGTCAACATCCCTCACAAAACATGTGAGCCACGAGCTTAGGCAGTCAAGAGGGGTTCCAGGCCACATCCGGACCATGTACCTGAACAGTCAAAGCGAAGCGCAGTAAAGAGCATCTCTGAAATACACAACAAGCACCTGTAGATAGAATCCTGTTTAATACCTATATTATTGTATCATACTACGTCTAACGAACTTTTTATTAATCCTGATACTATTAATATATACCTGGATTCATATAGACTACATTCACATTAACAATCCAATCGATTGTATACTGGTAGACTAAGTAAAGCCCTTAATATATAGGATTTAAATAAATATGAAGTTTGACAATGCTTCATAGTATGAGACTTCTTAATTTCAATTAACCCAAATCTTCGCAATGTAGTTAGCCACTTATTCACCGGGGCAAGTGTGCTGTACAGTACTCCAGTTATCTTAAAAGACGACTATTGCCCCGGTGTACAATCCTGCTGAAAGTACGAGACTTCTTCCAGTTTACCTTTGACAGGAAAAAGTCTTCCAGGAGATCTGCAGCAGCCTTTTGTCCCGCCCTGACCAACTGCTTTGCACAAAACGACCCAAGCGTTTCAGAACTTGCTCGCAAACATGAGTTCAATGAGTTTGATGACGCCACATTGCCACATTCGGTAGATCTGATCAATTGGCAGGGCCTGCACAAGCCTGCCTGTTGATGCAGTCACGTGATTAGCACACTTTCATCCAGGTAATCTTCGATACTTGACTTTGCATACTGGTGACGCTCGGCCAACCGTCTCAGGCCGATTGCGGGCACATGGACCCGGCACCACGTGGGGAGGCCGGGTCCATGTGGCACCTGCCGACATTGGTTCGGTAGCTTCTTGCTCCTAGTATATAGTCCTTGTCCTCGCCTCACCCTGCCGCCAAAGAAGTTTGGCGGCTGAGGGTGGGTCAACTTGTCCCAAGTTGACCCCACACATAGTGCTTATAGATCATCTTGAAATTTACATGGTGGACCTAGGATAGTCCATTTTGTACTTGAAGCGTTTTTTACTACAAAATGAATGGTGCACAAAGTGTCGACTTACAAAATGACCCGCAAAAACTGGCAACAGCTGCCTGCCTCTTCTTCCTTCCACCCAAACCCGCCGTCTGCCGGAAATGCCGCCACTATGCCCGTATCTTCCACCGCGCCGCGGCACGAAGATGCTCAGTTCTGCTTGCATGAACTCATCCAATCGAGACGAGGAGATCACCGCCAAGTGCCGCAGGGGTCCAATCGGCCGTCCAATCGGCCGTCCAATCGGGTGAGGGTTGGTCGCGCCTGGGTGCAGGTGTGTTCCAGCTGGGTGCGACGCTTTTTTTGCGACGCGCCCAGAGCGGGGTTGGTGGGCAGGTTGGTGACTACGGTGCCACAGCCCTTTGAAAGGTCTTTCAGAGAAGGACAAAGAAAAGAAGAGTGGGAAGAAGCTGTGGTGTGGAAGTCTGATCCCATGTGAATCATGGTCTTTTTAGGTGACCCGAGGAACTTGGACAGGTCCTGAACACTTTGGTAGTCAAAAATGGTCTTTCAATGGACCAGCCTCGGGTGTATTTCTTGTTTTTTCAGGATTGGATTTCTGTTTGGGAGCCCCAGCTCAGTCATCAGCTCAGTGCTCAGCTCAGTCATGCCAGTCTTAAGGCTTCCCGATCCAAAAGAAGCGCCAAAAGGTGAAATGCCTTCACCCCGACACTCCATGGGACTGCCATCTATGCCGATCACTTGGGGTGGTGGTTGAAAGGGGGTGAATGGGGCGGCAATCAGCATGTCTGTCTACCAGTCCCATGGAGCGGATTGGACCTTCCGAAACTCACCTACCAGGCAGGAGTCACAAGACGGGGTGGTGTTTAGTCCCATCCAGTGAGTGGAGTAGCTGGGCACCCTAAACCTCCATGGATCGCACCCCGTCTTGGGACTGCTGGTACCAGGACTTACCTACCAGACCTGAACCGTAGTCTCAGTGTCCAGGACGCTCATACCAGGCTTGTCAGACGAGGTGATGAAACAAGACTTGTCCCACCGGCCCACGGGTGAACGACCGCCGAACTCGAAGCGAACGGCCAAACGACGCGGGCCGTTCGAAGTGAGGAAGAAGGAATTCAAGAAAAACCAGCAGAAATGGTCCATGGTTCTGCGGGTTGAAACAGACCATCCAATCAATAGTTAGTTGGAATCAATAGTCAGTTAGTTGTTCAACAGTCGCATCGAAGCTCCATGAATTAACAATAATTGACGGTTCCAACGTTCAAGCTTTCGATGTGCAGAGAGACCTAAATTGGTCTTCCTCACTAGTGACTAGGTGACCCGATTTTGGTAATTTCTCTACTTCAGTCACTCGATCTTAAATAGAGTCGAACTGGACTTCTAAGGCTCTAAGGAGTATTAGGGAACTCCATGGACACATTGGGCTCCTCAGCCCCCTGCTAACCACCAGCCATAGTTCAGAGATTGGGCCGGCCCCTCCATAACCATCCATAACCATCCATAACCCCTGGATCGGAAACCCGACCCTTCGTCGAAAAGTCCTGCTCACTTGTTTCAATTGGCAAAGCCATGGTTCAACGGTTCTGCAGCAAAACCACATCCATCGATGGTCCACTTCAGCAAGAATCCAGGCCCCTTCAGCAACACATGACAGTCCGGGATACATAGAGTTTGAGAACTGGGTCCGAACCCCTGCGAAGATCAGTGGAGAAGGGCCAAACTCGGAGTCTGAATCAGGAATCCATACACCAAACACGGCCGCCATCTGGGACTGGCCTATGAATCCAGACAGGGGTGGTTGATTCATGTGGGATCAATGAACAAAGGCATCTTGCCGCTGATAGGAATCGAGGTGTCTGGGATAGGAATCTCAACCGCTCGGTCTGGTGTTGTTCGACTCGACGCGAAAAACCTCCTTCGAGAGGCCTGACCAGCGCAGAAAAGGTCGACACCGCACAGCACATGACCGGCGGGACATCGGACGTTGAGTGGGGAAATCTTTGGAGCACCAGCAGTGTCATCCGGCATAAGCTCGATTGAGTCGTGCCTCTCACGCAAGAAGGAGTCAAATTGCGCTTTTTAGTGAAACAACGCGAGTTGGATTGTAGAGTTACCCTTTATACGGACCATAGTGTTCCTTCGTAAACGAAATTCTCAAAATCAGGTCCCCTAGTCAGACCATTCTTTTATAGTCTTTGACTCCCAAGGAATAAAGACTTAACTGCCCCAATTCATACAAATTCGGCGTTCTTCCATCAAACCACATCCTGTCTTTTTTGTGGCTTCTGACAGGCTGCCAAGTAGTTGGACAATTCTGCCTCATCATGAGTTGAGCGGAAAAAATGCAACATCTCCAACTTGCATTTAATTGAAGAACTTGTCATGACCTGTGAAATGCTGTGAACCTTTCGAATCTTTCCCAACTCCACATCTGAGAATGCCATTATAGCTGCTAACAGATTCACAAGAACATGGTCGCCATGTTACACCTCTCATTAATCTGCACCTTACATGTTGTGCAGCTTCATGTGCAATATTTGTACCGAAAAGCTCAATACAAGCAGAAGCGAGCAAGGAAACCGTGCACAAGTAAAACATGATCTCGAGGCGATAGGGCCCCGAACACGACGAGCCGCCATTCTGAATATATTGCTTGGGAGCCGCAGTTTGCAAAACACAACTTCTGGGACTCTGAATCTGCATCCTCTTCTTGCTTGCCAGCACCAACTCCAACCGATTGAATCTCACCGAAAAACACACACGTGCTATTATATATTGTTTGAAGTTGTTTGAGATTGTTTGCATAACCCCCAACAAGTTTTTTTGCTAACCGAAGGAAGGAAATTCCCAGACTCGGGTCACCTATAGTCAAACCAAAATGTATGAATAGTGTTGGCATGTCTTGGACTCCCAAGGAAAAACAAACAACTGCTGGCTTCATCAGGGTGTGAGACCTGAACTGAACCCCAAGGCTCCCCAAAGGCCCGGCATGTCCCAGCTAACAATTGCTCCAACTTCTCGACGGCGGACCAGATATGACCAGATCCAATTCCGTCTTGACAAGAATCCTTGGGCCCATGGCAGGGGTCGGGCCCGACACCTTCGCATGGGTCCGGACCCTCAAAACCCTGTGTTGGTTTCGGGGCCCAGATTCTTGGGGTGCAAGAATCCTGCGCCAACGTGAATGGCATGAGCCCCGGCCCTCCAACGTGAATGGCATGAGCCCCGGCCCTCTCGCATGACCTGAACCAAATCCTCTACACATGACCATCGGTGGGTACCTCCAGCTTCGATTCCAGAATCAGTGCAATTGAAAGACCAGCAGTCACGTTCGACGGGGTTGTGTGGCTCGTCCCGTCCAGAACCTGTGGATGTGACGTTCGCACCACCTAACCTCCCAACAGAGGTTGAGGTTAAGTGACCTTATAGGACCCTACCAGGGTACCTATGGGATAGCCTATAGGGTTCTTCAACCTCTGTTGGTACCTAACCTCCATGGATCGCACCCCGTTTTCCACGGTTTTCCTGCGACTTCGCACGAAGGAACGCACATTCCTGGACCGAACGAGGACAAAACCAACGGGAAGACGGAAGTCCCAGACGCGACCTGCTTGGGACTGCCATAGGACTGCCGCCCCATTGGGCCCCCCTGGCACCACCCCTGGCCTGATCGGCAGTCCTATGGCAGTCCCAAGCAGGTCGCGTCTGGGATTACGTCTACCTCAATCCGAACCTTCCTTCGATCACCTACGAATGGGCACCGAGGCCGGTAGATCGAAGGTCACGCGGACGGACGCTCGGATCACCGACCGTCGTGTTCCGAACACCGGAAACACCACCGACCTGGCCTTCGTCGAAAAACCACGTGAACTCCGCAAGACCGGGGTGAAACCAACGCGAGTTACAGCCTCCAGTAAGGACTTGGCGGCTTGGATGTGTCCACCTGCACTGCAGGATGGAAGCGAGAAACATGAAGAAACCAGGCTTTGAAAACATGTTTTCACCATGGAAACACGTGTGGCCTGGTGAGGTTGTGGGGTTTGTTCCAAGGGGGAAGCGTGGATCTGAAAGATTTGACCTAAGACTTGGTGAATGGGAAGACACTTTTTTTGCGTGCAAGTCTTACCCTTGGGATCTGTGAATCCTGGAACTGTGGATGGTTCTATACCTATCCCAGACACTCCATGTGTGCCATATGTGCCTACATTGGGGTGGTTTTGGGGGTCAATTTAGGCATATATGGCATACATGGAGTGTCTGGGTATGACATCCTGAGGGAACACATGTTTCATGTAGGTGGAAAATCCATACACACTTCTCAAGCGGAGGATACCATGTACCACTGGGAGTCTATGTATGAACTGGACATCCGGGAAATCCTCAAAGAGTCTCAACATTCCTCACTGCAGTATCTGAAGGTCTTCCTCAGGTCTTCCTCAGGTCTTGCGAGCTGCTGCGATGTCCAAGTCGATCATTGTCGTTCTTTTGTGCTGGTGGGAAAACCGTTTGGCCGTCCACAATACTCAGGGGTCATTCATGGAACCGGTATTCTTTTGTTGGGCTTTGCACTTCTCCTCTTTGAAACTGCTAATGCGCTGATGTAGACTTCCAAACACTCATGGATATGGAGGGATTTCTTGCTCTTTGGAGCGTAGACCGGCTCTTGATTGACTAAAAAAACTAACATGTAAGAGGACAAGAGATAACACGAGTCTACAGTAAACCTGTGACTTGTTCAAAGATCTTGGGAATATCTCCTCACCTCTCTGCCTTTTACCCTCGATGCTTGGCGCAATACCGACATGGTCGGCTGTGACTCGACGATCATACCCTTTTCAGGGCGAGGCCGAACCAACCCCGACCGGGTAGGGATTGGTGGTGTTAGACTCCCAGACCTTCACCCCCTAGTCTCCCCCTGTTCTCTGGTGTTTTTTAACCCCTAAAACATCCTAAAACCAAAACAACCCCGACCGGGACATCAAAACTCAAAACCATTCAACACCTGGCAATCACCACCAATCTCCCCTTCCGGTTGGGGTAGACGTCGCATGGCCCATGGCCCTAACACCCGATGCGAACCGGGCCTGCAGCTGCCCATAAGAGCGGTGTGAAGTTGGCTTCCTGCCGAGGAAACAGAGGGTTTGGTCAGATCTTGGAACCCAAAGGATGCCACCACTGTATTGACCAACCCCTGGGCCTTTCTAAGGGTATTAGGTATTCGGATTCAATACCCATGTATTGAAGCTCTTGGCTCCTGTGGGGTATCGTACCATGATGCAAAACTGTGGGTCATGGCACCAAGATCCCTGACGTACCTACCGGATCTGGTCGTTGGCAAATGGTGGAGTCAGGCGAACATGGTTGAACGACCCATTCCCATATTCTTGGGATGTTTGAATCTCAAACACGACTAATGGGACTGGTATATGCCTACATCGACCCCTTATCAACCACCCCAATGTATTGATTCCTATGCCAGTCCCAGACAGGTCGTGTTTGGGAATGTGTTTGTATTTGTCGTTTGCAGACTCCTGTCTACCCACTGCCGGACACTGAGCAGACCACGGACACCGTTTCCACCGCGCAGGTCAAGGCTACCGGCGCCCCCACAGGTTCCGCATGGCACTGCTTCTGCAGGTCTTGGGATCACACCTATAGGGTGGTTGAAAAAGGGTCCATGTAGTGCAAAGGCATTTTTGTTTCAGTCTCTCAAAGAGTGTGGGATACATCTACCATCATTGACCAAATTTCAACGAATCAGCTTCTCAGAGGCCGTAGCTTTACCTCTTTTTTCTATTCCGTGCCAATCGCCCTGAATCCTTGGGCTCTCCATGGCAGGGGTCCGGACCCAGTTCCCAAACCCTTCCCATTGGTTCCGGATTCCCCAGGGAAGGTCGGAATCCCTGCGACCATCATTCCAACAAAACCAGTGGCCGCTGGTTCAGGTTGGATCTTTTGATATTTCTGGGTCATGGTTGGTCATGTGGCTGCTGGTACAGTGCACATGGTGCATGGTCCTGTTTGGTCATGTTCAGGTTTGGTCAAAAGGAACTTGACCCCCTCCCACTGGAAAAAAACGGGTGACGGGCATCAGGAACCCACTACCATCCACTACCCACTACGATATAAAAGACTTGACATCGTGAAAGGTCTCGATTTGGGGATGTCCCAGCCCGTGGTGAACAAACGATCCAGGAATCATCTCATCAATCAGAGAGTGGAAACGATGGACAGATTCCAACATCCTGCTTCCGACATCAAACACTACATCGACTACATGGCATGGGCATTATTAACCATTACACTTGGGTGCTTGACAAGGGGCTGATCCCAAACACGATGTGTCTGGGACTGGAGAATGCCGCCCCAGACAAAGCCCCAGACATGAATCAACCACCCCTGTCTGTATGGATTCATATGCCTGTTCATATTGCCCCAGGACCTCAATCAACCACCCCTGTCTGGTTTTCGCCCCAGGACCTCAATCAACCACCCCTGTCTGGATTCATATGCCAGTCCCCTTTTTCTGCCGGTCGTGTCGAAGAAAGACCGGTCGGTCCAGTCCCACCCGTCCACATCTGAGCACCAACCCATCTCCCATCCA